AATTATCAGATGGTAATAGATAAGCTCTATAAAGCTTTTCTGTTTCTTCTTTTCTACATATTTTCACTATATAATTCAATCACACAGCATATACATAAAACTGTAACCTGATGAAACTCAACTTTTCTGCTAGGATCCATAATGCTTGAGAATGTTACTCACACCGTGCCCATGTTTGAAGGTTGTGGTTCTCTAAAGGATGTATTAATAAAAGAAAAACTGTTGCTGCCAGATGGTAAAAATAAGATGATACCAAACCCAGGACTGTGAAAAAGGACCCTTTGCCATTTTCTTTGATGAAACGGTCATGGGATGGAATAAATAACAGACTCAGAATCAGAGAACCTAGGTAGGTATTAAAAAAAAAAAAATAGCCCTGCATATTAGTAGTTACATGAACTTGTCTAGATTACTTACTTTCTGTATCTTTAAAATGGGGTTTGTTGTTGTGAGGATTTAAAAAAGGATGATGTCTGTGAAAACATTTACAATTATTGTAGAACCTAGCTATCTACCTGGGGGAAACAAAGAAGCTTTAATTGGGGGGCTCTATGCCCATAGAAATGCCACCTGCACAGTTGGGAAGGCCAGGAGCAGCTGATGGAGCTGGAGTTAATGAGGTAAGGTGTGGGAAAGAACAAGAAAGATTTCCTCAGCTCAGGGCTCGAGTGGTGGAACAACCATATCTCTCAGTTGAGTATAAGTTTCCAAGGAAGACTCTTCTTGGGAATTCTCTGTGGAAGTCAAACCGTAAGTTAGGAGAGAGAGAGAGAGTTTAGCCAGATGGCTCCACCTATTAATACCACTTAGTTATTCCACGTTTAGAGTGGATGAGACCCAACTGCAGAAGAAATGGAAGCATGCACAAACTGGGAAAACAATGCTCAGCTGGGGGCCTTTGGGCCTCTGGCCTGATTAAGTGTACACCAAGAGTGCCAAAGGTAGGTCTTGTTTCTGGTAAGATGTTTGGATTTTGTTCTCATTGCAACAGGAAGGTCATGGAAGAATCTTAAGCAGAGAGTGACATAAGTCCATCCTTCTTCTTGGGGTACAACAACTACAGTACGTGCTTAGCAATGCATCGGTGATTCTGTTTGCTCATAGTTACACTATGGATATTAAGGTATGGTGACACGGTACATGTTAATATTACAACAAATCCACCAAAAGATATCCCTATTGGCCTGAAAGAAATGTTACACTGTAATTTAAGAAGTTAGAATTTCATATACGTTAATAGCTCTAATTAATACGATAAACCTTTCCTTTTGGGATTTGGCAGTGAGAACAGCTCAAGCAGGAGTGCCATTTGAATCCCTGGAAACCTAAAATAACATTTTTACAAAAACAAAAGCAGCAGTGTTCACAGTCACTAACTTGGCCTGGAAAGTAAGAGAGTTGGAAATGTAAAGATGGTATCTTTAACAAGTGTCATTCCACTATTTTACAGCTCTTGCCAATACAGCACTTTAAAAGATGTGCATTACAGTCAATTTCCAGTTGAAAAAGTAAACCCCAAATATGGGCAAAATTAGCAGCCCCACTCCTTGTCATTGTAATACATGATTAAGTAGGTGTTACAAAGATGAAAAAGCAGAGCCATCTCTTTCTAATACTGACAGACATCCTCCCCTTCTTCACTGATCCTTTATCTTGCAGTGAAGACCTGCATAAGGAAGTTGATTTCTGGTATTCTCCTGATAAGAATGCTTCTTTCCAGAGGCAGCAGCAAGGACTACATTGCTTTAGCAGACACTGTTCGTGAACTTGTGCCAAGTTTCTCGGAACCTTGGAAACTGGGAAAGTGTCTGTGCTCCTGATTAATAATATTCAGCAACCAGGCTGAACCCAGATGAAGTATAATCACTAGTAGGGAGGGACAGTCAGTCACAGAGCTCCTGTGGTTGAGCTGCTATGAGAAGACACTAACACCACTAAGAGCACGCAGGGCTTTTGTGCGCAGGTGCCAACATGAGCCTGAGCTGAGATCGGTCAAGGGATTAAGACCTCCTCTGTCTCAGGGACAATACAGAATGTGCCTCCTCTCAATTCCCCCACACCCAGTTTAAATTACTCTTCTACCTAATCTCTTTAAGGCGTGAGTTGAGGCTACTTTGTAATAAAATTATTCTCAATTTATATCACACAATAATCATGGATGCTTATTCTAACTCCCTCATACGCTGCAACATCCTCCAAGTCCGAGTCATCCCTCTTGAATCCCATTCACCCATCATATAAACATTTCAAACAGTACATGAGAAAGTGACATAAATAGTAAATGTCTTCCAGCCTTGCTCCCCAAAGATAACCACTATTAAGTTTCTTGTATCTCCCTCCATAAATGTTTGTGGGCATATACAAACTTTTATGTTATTCAATGTTCAATCCAATGAGCAAACCTTAAAAGAAATATGGATTGATATACAGAATTTTAAATCATTTCTGATTCAGGGTAGTATATAAATAATTTTAAGTTACTGCAAATAAGGGGTGTGTGTGTGTGTGTGTGTGTGTGTGTACATTCCAAGGTAGACACAACCTGCCTTCATCTACCACTCACATCCCCTCCACCTTCCAGGACTTGAGCAAGTTTGCATTTGGGTAGCAGGTGGAATTACCAGGGCACAAGCCTGGTGAGTCCAGCTGTCTCTAACACGGTGGGTATTCCCTGGCCAACTCACTCCATCTCTCTGAATCTCAGTTTCCTCTCTTATAAAATGAGAAGGTATTTTCAGAAGTCCCTTTGAGAGTTCAGGATTGAAGCTGATAATCAAGTAGTGATAAATAAAACAGGTACACCAAGGCCAAAGTATGAAATTGGTATCAGGAAGAAAATCAAACATAGTATCACGGCTTACCAGGAGAATATGGATGCAAATTAGACTGGAGCAGTTATTTAAAAAATATTTTTAATTGAGGTATAACTGACATATAACATTATATTAGTTTCAGGTATACAACGATTTCACATTTATATACAGAGCAAAATGATCACAATAAGTCTAGTTAACATCCAGCACCATCTCAGTTACAAAAATAATTTTTCTCTTGTGATGAGAAATTTTACAATCTTACCTATTAGCAACTTTCAAATATGCAATATAGTATTATTAATTATAGTCACTATGCTGTACATTATATCTCCAGGACTTATTTTATAACTAGAACTTTGTACCTTTTGATCACCTTTACCCATTTTGTGCTCTCCATAGAGAGAACTTGGGATTCTTTGGTTTTGTTTTTTGGAATCCACATATAAATGAGATCATATGGTATTTGCCTTTCTCTGTCTGACTTATTTCACTAAGCATAATCTCCTCCAGGTCCATCCATGTTGTCACAAATGGCAGGGCTTTATTCTTTTTTATGGTTGAATTGCATCTATATACCCCACAACTTCTTTATCCATTCATCCATAGTTGGACACTTAGTTTGTTTCCGTATCTTGGCTATTGTAAATGATGCTGCAATGAACATGGGGATGTACAGACCTTTTCAAGTTAGTGTTTTCTTTTTCTTTGGATAAACACTCAGCAGTGGAATTGCTAGTTCATACGGCAGTTCTATTTTTAATTTTTTGGCCAACAGGTTTCTGTTTTCCATGTGGCTGCACCAATATACATTCCCACCAAGAGTGCACAAGGGTTCCCTTATGTTCTCCACATCCTCGCCATCACTGGTTCTTTCCTATATTTTTGATGACAGCCATCCTAACAGGTGTGAGATGATAGCTCACTGTGGTTTTGATCTGCATTTTTCTGATGACCAGTGATGTTGAGCATCTTTTCATGTACCTGTTGGCCATCTGTATGACTTAATTGGAAAAATGTCTGTTCAGATCTTTTGTTCATTTCTTAATTGAAGTGTTTTGTGGTTTTTTTTGCTACTGAGTTTTCTTAATTTTTTTTTTTAAAGATTTTATTTATTTATTTGACAGAGAAAGAGAAAAAGAGAGAGAGAGTACAAGCAGGGGGAACAGCAGAGGGAGAGGGAGAAACAGGCTCCCCACTGAGCAGGGAGCCCAATGCAGGACTTAATCCCAGGACCCTGAGATCATGACCTGAGTCGAAGGCAGACGCTTTACCAGCTGAGCCACCCAGGTCCCCCTTAATTTCTCTTTCTGGTATTTTGTTATTAGAATATAGAAACACAATAGATTTCTGTATATTGATATTGTATCCTGAAACTTTATTTCTTTCACTAGTTCTACCAGTTCTTTGGTGGAGTCTTTAGGATTTTCTCTATGTAATATATCATCTGCAAAGAGTTTTACTTCCTTCCCTTTCTAATTTAGATCCCCTCTTATTTCTTTCTCTTACCTAACTGCTTTGGCTAGGACTTCCAATACTATGTTGAATAAAAGTGGTGAGAGTGAGCATCCCTATCTTATTCCTGATTTTATCATTGAGTATGATTGTTAGGTATGGGCTTGTCATTATTTGGCCTTTATTATGTTGAGGTATGTTCCTTCTATACCCACTCTGTTGAGAGTTTTGTGGGGTTTTTTTTTAATTATAAATGGATGTTGAATTTTGTCAAGTGTTTTTTCTAACTCAATTAGAGATGATCATATAATTTTTATCCTTCATTTTGTTAATGTGGTATATTACACTGATTGATTTGCAGATGTTGAACTATCCCTGCATCTCTGGAATAAACGCCACCTGGTCATGGTGTATGATCCTTTTAATGTATATTGAATTCAGTTTGCTAATATTTTCTTGAGGATTTTTGCATCTATGTTCATCAGGGATATTGGCCTATAATATTCTTTTCTTTTCTTTTAAAGATTTTATTTATTTATTTGACAGAGAGAGACACAGCAAGAGAGGGAACACAAGCAGGGAGAGTGGGAGAGGGAGAAGCAGGCTTCCCGCCGAGCAGGGACCCTGATGCGGGGCTCGATCCCAGGACCCTAGGATCATGACCTGAGCCAAAGGCAGACGCTTAAGGACTGAGCTACTCAGGCGCCCCTATAATTTTCTTTTCTAGTGGCATTCTTGTCTGGTTTTGGTATCAGGGTAATGCTGGCATTGTAAAATGAGTTCGGAAGCATTCCCTTGCAGCAACTTTTTAAAACAATTTCCTGAGCTATAATTCATAGGAAAATCCATCTTGTTTTACCACAGAGGTATATCAAGCAATATACACTGATCCTGAAGTTATCTTAGGATACAGCCACAATCCTTCAGAAGTAGAGCCAACCCATGTTTACTCATTTCTCAGCAATGTATGTGACCTTCTCATCAGCCTCAGAGAGCTCATGAGTATTTTTCCATTGTCAAGAGTCATAGATAAGTTCAACGTTACATTCAGTAGCTACGGGTCATAACTTAAGCAACTAGTTAGCATCTTAATTCCCATTTGCCACCTCAGTGACAATTAGCTGCCTACCAGGGAGGTCTTCCCGTTGATCAGACCACATATGTTATTCTATTCTGACCACGTCCTTTACCAGGAGCACAGATAAATATCCAGAGGAGTGTCAAAGTGATGAGGGAGGGACTTGGGAGAAAGGGAAAAGGTGCTGGAAGTGGGTAACACCATCTGTGTTAAACATCTATTTGGCAATTTGACTGCAAGCTAACAGTAGCAAAGCTACTAATAATGGTTGAAAATCTTTGTTCTAGGGCAAAGCTAGGAAAGGGAAAGTGGCATTCACAGTGTCTTTGTCAGGTGTTTTTGCCATTTCTCTCAGACGCAGGAGAGATGGAGGTTAAGAGAACAAACTCTGGAGTTAGAAAGGTACAGGTTCTGCCACTATTAGACTATTACCTAATCAATTCCGAGCCTCTACTGTTTATTTATTTCAAAGAGACAGACAAGGCATTACATGCATTGTGCTTATTATTATTATCATCTGGAAGTGTGGGTTCTGTGGGCTCTCTCCTGTGAAATACAAGATCCTTAAAAAACAATTACAAGTAAAACTGAAAAGTCAACACCTGGTAAAGGAGCTGTACTTACCTGAAAGGAATTCACAGAGCGAAGGGATGGCGGCAGCGTGGCATTATTCCTTGATAATATCAACAGAAGCTCCAAGCAGGTTGCAGAGGGCAGGGTTAGAGAGTGGATGCTGATATCACTTTCCCAAGCACTGGAAAGCCTGAAACACATTGATGTGTATAATTTCATAATTGTGGCTCAGTCAGTTCAGCGTCCAACTCTTGATTTCAGCTCAGGTCATGAGCTCAGGATCGTGAAATCCAGCTCAGTGATGGGCTCCAAGCACAGCATGGAGCCCGCTAAAGATTCTCTCTCTCCCTATGTCTCTGCCCCTCCCCAACCCGCTCACACTTTCTCTCTCTCAAAAAAAAAAAAAAATTTCATAAATGTGTCTGGTCATAATTAGTTCAAAAGTCTGATGGAGAAGGAGAAGACTTTCAAGTGTGAAAGGGAAAAGCAACGCACAAATAAATAGAAATAAAATGGTTCTACTAAAAATTCAGAGTAAATATCCAAGACATCTTTATAGTTTTTGATATAAAACAGATTAGGCAATTTTTTCAGGTCAGTATTTCATACTCAAAGTTCACGAGTCACATGAAATGCAGTCTTATTTGTGAGGGACCTACTTGGGGGATGGATAACAGCTAACATACTGAATGCTTCCTATATTCTATGCCCTTTTCTATATGTAACATCGCAATCACCCCTCAGATACCTATGAAATGAAACTATCGCTATTCTCATTCTACAGATGTGGAAATTGTTTCTGAGCTGGATATGCCCTATGAAGTGTCTAGTTCATTGATTTTCAAACCTTTAAAAAGTGACGGAATCCTTTTATCAAAAAGTCTTGTGAAAGCTCCATTTATAATACAAATAAAAGCAAAGCTGCTCTGTTGGAACGGGAAAGGTTGGCAGGAGGCTCCCTTCATCTTCCAAAGCAGCCTATGAAGCATCTCTGCTACATCCCATTGAACCTACTTGAAAATTATTTCATTCAAGAAATGAGGAAACCGAAGGCTAGAAAAGTAAAGAGACTTCTCTGGGATGAGGTATGTGTTGAGAAATGATATGGCTGGGTCTAGAATCCCAGTTTCCTGACTTCCTATCTAGTGCTTACAGTAAAGGGGAAAATCAGAAAGTCATTATGGGAAAACAATGTAATAAGAATAGGATGTGTCTTAGCTGTCAATTCTTCTATTTACATGAGTATTTCCTGACTGTGCCCCTATCAAAGTAGCTCTTATCACTGTCCTAATTTTTAAAAAGAAATAATACAGTACTCCTTGTATTTGTGGACAAAGACAGAAAGTAATACAATAATCCTTGTATTCTTATTTGAGCTGTGTGACTCATCCTAAATATTTAAAAAGAAGACTTGAAAGTCTTCTCCATTTACATAAACTTCTTTTTGTGAAGCGGCCTTTAACCCAATCGGTGAATTCTGGAATGTCAGAGAGCATCAGCTAAGGGAATAATGGATTTTAATGTTTATATGATAAGTCGTAGCAGATGGTTTAGCAGTCATCAGTCAGGTTACCTGTGCTATCATTTCTGACGTGGGGTGGAGAATTAACTCTTCTTTGGAGCAGTTGCCAACTACTTGGACTGGAATACGACACTGCCCACTTCCCCCAAAAATGGTCTGTTTTCAGCAAGGGCGCATTTGGAGTGTCTTCTTCATGTTTTAAACACTTCTCGTTATCTTATATTGATTGGCTATGTTATTCTTTCTCCTCTTATTCATGATACAACACTGTCAACATTTCTCTGGGGTGGAAATAAAAATCTCACTGTCTTTAGTAGAAGTCAAACGTAGTGCTAGCGCAGTGGCTCTAAGCTTATTCTCCCTACCCGCTTCCTTATGCCCTCTACAAATCACGCCATGACTGGCATTACACTCAACACATTATGTCTTGCTCATGCAGTTTTCTGGGCCTGGAAGGCTGTTGGGCTACCCGGTGAACTTCTGTTTATCCAGCAAGACCTACGTAGGTATCACTTCCTTGGAGACATCCTCTTGTTTCCTTTATAAGAATGAACTACTTGCCTAATACCATATTTGTATCCATTACAACACTTAACCACCACCCTCCTTGTATTCTTATTTGAGCTGTGCGACTCATCCTAAATCAGACCTGAGCAGCCATAACCTGTGGATTCCTCTAACTTTGCTGCCCACTGTGGAAATAAAGATAAGATTAGTTGTTTTTCCTCACACACACCCAGGTATTAACCTTTTACTGGCTGTAAGAAAAACATTCCACTTACATTTGTATGTTCAATAATTCAATTTATTTTCCAAGTGTTATTCTTATAATCAGAAATGGGATTTCTGGGTCACACAAAGGAATGTTTAACCGCTGCTCAAAGGTGTCAACATGCTGCTAAGTGGCTATGGTATGATCTATCAAAAAGGACACTCAAGTAGAAATTAAAATTCTTTAGCATTCCTTGTCACTGACCAGTGACAAGCACTCTTGGACAAGTCCAGTTTCCTCATGAGATCCTGGAGTTCATACACGACCTATACAACGTACTAAACCACCAAAATTTACACAAAAGGACATTCATCACACTAATGATATCCATAGTCACAAAAAAAGATATAATTAGTTATACATGTTAGTTATTCATGTCTCTATGTAATTACAAATATTTGTACGGTATGTGAATTCAACTTTGGCATTTTAAATCTAATCATTCAAGTGTTCTGTGATTTATCCCTCTTGAAGCTCATAAAGGTGAAGAGTGTTGTCCTAATCACATGGTAGGTAATGGAAAAGAAACTCAAGCAAGATCCGCTCCATCTAAATTTCATTCTCTTTTGTATCTAGAAATGCTTGGTATTTCTGAACAAATTCTAGCCAAAAAAATTGAAAAGCCCAAGGGTAAATGATGGAGCAAATTTTAGCTATCTTAGAACACCTCATTTCTTAATAATTTGAACCACCTTATTTTTGAAATTAGACAACGCAGCTGGACCTACGATGGCTTAAATTCCTAATATTCATCCTTTCATTTATCCTAGTATTTATCCATTTATTCTTTCTTTTCCCACAGTATATATTCATTAGCCCCAGGATTTACCTTTTTATTGTTAAGTTTTATAAATGTTCTCTATAATCTTAACCACATATTAATCACATGAAACATCCATATATGTGGACAAAGACAGAAAGTAAAATATGAAAAAAAGATATAATCTTAACCACATATTAATCAAATGAAACATCCAATATATGTGGATGAAGACAGAAAGTAATACCTGAAAAAAAAATGATAACAGCTGTTTTGGAAAGTTAGAACTATGGGTAACTTTTCCCCAAAATTTCAGTTAATGTTTTTACATTGTGGTTTGTGTTTTGTTTTGGTTTGGTTTTATCTTGTTTTGTTGTGACTTAGGAAGAAAGAAATAAAGAAAGCAGGAAGATTGGAGAAATGGTCTGGCATATTTAAAATTCAGTTTATCTTAAAACAACGACCAAACTCATTATGAAAATTTAAGGCATGTATTAATTAAGCCAGAAGTGATCCTTGAGACTATCTACCCATGGCTCAAATATCAAGACAAATTTCTGCTAATGATATAAACATTTTAAGAAACACAGGATTATAATAATCCAGAATTTGGATTATTTCTGGTATTTCCTGCAAAAACATCCTAGACTATTAGACCTAAATCAGTAAACTTCTATTATAAAACTGACAAGAAAGATAATTCAAAGAGAATAACAAATTTGACATTAACTGAAATCTATTTTGGTGATTTTTAAAGTAGTGGGAGAAAAGCTTTCCTAAGAGACCAGAACTGTCAGCCAGGTGACCTCAGTCAAAAAGACCAAAAGGCAAGCAGAGGACACACCATCCTTATTTCTGAACTTTTGCCTTGACAAAATTCCCTAGAGAAGCAACTATGGCCTCTCTATTTTTAATGAGGCAATGAGAAGGGGGAAAAGAAGTCACTTTCCATCACTTCTAACAAAATAGTGAAATTGAGAATGAATCAAACACCAATAAATATCAAGAAAAGAACTTGAGAAAATAGAAAGGTGATACAGTCTACTAAAAACCAGAGGTTGTTAATGTAATAGATGAAAATGACAAATAGAGATGATAAAACAACTCTACCAAAAATTAAAATATTTCAAATGAGTTCAACATATTGTATAGGAAAAAATAATATGGTATAAGAGAACTCAAGATAAAAATATTTAACTTAAATTTCATGTTTCTCATATTTTAGCAATGGATCTGGACTCCTCCGTCTTAGAAGGACCTAAGAAAGCAAACAGCCTATTAATGATGTTAAAATATAATATTGTTTATATATGCATACTTTTAATTTAAATTTCAGAGCTATAACAATGATAAAGCTCATCAATTTAAGCTCTCAAAATACCAAAACAAGCAAATGACTACAACTAAGTGCTAGACTTATTATAAACATACAACTATTTAATAAATAATTTGGAGAAGGAATCAAAATTTTATAAATTCTTATACTGTCAAGAACACAAAATTCAGAAACAACCAAATATACTGTTTATCTGTTATGATAAACCATATTAACTCCAAGATATTTAAATATTTTAAAAGAATAAAAACAGAACCTGAAAAGTGTATAAATCAACTGTTCCTTATAAATTTCAAAATAAGGTTCAATAAGTCATGAACAGCCGTTCTTTGAAATTAAAGAGTATTTTCTTTGAAAATTACAGAAAAAAATCGAGTTTTTTTTTAAGTCATAAATATCAACACTGTTCTTCAGTTCTCTTTAAACTAAAGGGCTCTTAAGAGAAAAAAATTTAGGGGCGCCTGGGTGGCTCAGTAGTTTTAAGCGTCTGCCTTCAGCTCGGGTCATGATCCCGGGGTCCTGGGATCAAGCCCCGCGTCGGGCTCCCTGCTCCGCGGGAGGCCTGCTTCTCCCTCTCCCACTCCCTCTGCTTGTGTTCCCTCTCTCACTGTGTCTCTCTCTGTCAAAATAAATAAATAAAATCTTAAAAAAAAAAAAGAGAAAAAAATTTAGGTACACAATCCCTGAAAGCTATGCCTTTTAAACTTTGTCCATAAGACATATGAAATTTGTCAAGGCAATCTCTCTCTCTCCCACAAATCAAAAAGCATGGGGAAAATGGTTCTGCTTTGAATAAGACA